TCTTACGTTGGATGCTTATTGCACTGCATTATGATCAGGGCTCAAGTTCAAGGAGACATTTACCCGTCCACTCTTTCCCGGATAGGTCATATCGTTCTGTAAACGACATCTGTGGACCCCAAAACGGTTGTCCATGAAGCCAAGTCCGGACTATCGAACCATTCCGCCTCGCCACGGTCTATATGGATAAAAATATGCATTCGCTCAGAGGCACGTCTTCCCGAGTCCATTACCGTGTCGATCAGTGAATCCCACTCTGGAACGAAGTGAGTGCGCTGAAGGTGTACACGGAGTCAACTGTCATGCGCCGTCAGTTAGGAGACGTGGAGGCGATACTGTGCCACTGACTCTGAGCCAGGCCATGTCCTCTCCGATTATCGACTGATTTTTAGGGAACAAATTTCTCCGTAATGCAAAAGTCCGCATTCTACTCTAAACGTGGTTGCCAAACGTCGCTTATGCTTGCATGCTGCTGCTTCTTCTATACTGAGCCGTTTGTTCAGAGCTCAATGGCATGACCTCAACAACGCCCAGCGCAGGTCCGATGTTCGGCTGCAGCATACAGCGGTTATTCGGGATCGCATGTGGCTTGCCAACATAGTCTGGCCCCATCCTCCCGCAGGCGTTCCAGCACATGAACGCATGAGCTTTGAGTGACGATCGTCACTTAACTATTCTCCGAACCCCGGGTCTCTCATCAAACCATGTGGGATATCACGGAATAACAAAGTCGTGCTTTCAATAATACTGAAACCAGCATTGCGGCGCCAATCGTAACGGTAACGGCTCGTTAACCAAACTCGTCATGCGGGCTCTCCACCCAGGGGCCGACGTCAACATTGAGTGAGGTCGGTTGCGTGTGGCTCACTGGCTGCCGTCAAAAGGAAAACAAATGGTCTGATTCCAGACCCCTGTCCACTCGTCTATCCGTTTGGCGGAGGAGGAATCCTTTGAATCCTTTGCAACGGACACGACACCGCACAGAGCGCCGCCACGCATTGTCTCCCCACAGAACGGCGAAAAGCAATCCCCTCGGTCGAGGCCCTGAAACTCAACAAGCAATTCCAAGCTCTCGTGCGCATTGATGACGGAGAGTGTACTACTTGCCGGAGGTGTGATAAAGTTTAGCGAAGACGGCCGCTGAACAAGACTACAAAAAGCAATCGCGGGATGGAGATGAAGGAGCGTCGCCTCGTCAGCAGTTCCCTTGATTCGAGCTGGCACACGGTTCCTGCCAATCGGGTTGTTGGTGCAGGTGGATCGGAGCGCCCCTTCAAGCCCTTGGATCGTGCTCGCGAAAGATCTGCGCATCATCTTGGTTTTGCGCAAGTGTCTCAGGTTCTAGTTCCATCTCGCTTGCAATCATGGCGCATCCAGAACGAGAAGATTGATGAGCCTGGCAATACGGGCCATACGGCGACGGCAGGGGAGACTCCAAGCAGCCTTCTAGCACAAAGCCTATGCCTACGCCTACGATTCCCCCAGCCACACAAGAATCCTGTTGCTGCGCGCATCCGCTTACAGAAAACAGTGCGCCAACATATGTTGTCACCATGCGTCTATCAATTCCGACAACCAAGAACCGATGCGCACGCCCAGCGGCGATCAAGGGAACGTATCGTACCATTTTGCCGTCACGACTGGTGCAGTCAAGTATTGAAGGTACCGAGGGAGGGGTACCTTCGTAATGACAGCCACTCAGCGTTGCCTCTAATCAGCACCATCACCAATCAACGAACCTTTGCGTCGGAACCAAACGCGCGACGGTCCATGGTGCCCAGGTGGGATGACGACGTTTCCGAAATAACACCACCACGCAGAACCTCCAACACCTACTTCTGCAGCTGTGCAGGTCAGAGCGCTCTATCATCGGATGCACGCAATCTTGCTCCAGGCAATCTTTCCCTAGATTATCATGGCTGGGCGATTTGCCTGCGAAATTGTTGCGAGATTGTTGCTACTGCCGCCCTACGCGGCCTTGCGAATAGCACTCTAAACTATCAGCCATGATCCCTGCGCGCCAGACCTTCGAGAAGGAGGTTTGCACGGAATTATCCATAACACCGACCGTTGCCCCTCCTCCTCTCCGCTACTCATGACAAGGCAGTCAAGCAGGGACCTTGGACTCGCATCCTGCCGTCGACCAGGACCCCCTCTCATCACCGCGAGCTTCGTCCGAAATTTCCGACAGAGAGAGCAGGTGATGCCACTGTCATGGTAAGACGCGAAGATTTGCCTAAAGAACCGCGATCGACAGCCGTCTGCGCCGTCTTTGTGAGAATCCCAAGTGCCGACAGCTATGGCAGCTATGCCAACAACGGCGGTGCTATTGTGGGTATCTGTGTCGCATTCGTGCTGGCAGCACGTGGCGGTGAGTATCAGCAAGCACCGTATCCCGCAACGAGCCCCAAGCCGATAGCAGTTATCTCGGACATTAATACCAGTCTTTGCGCAGGCCAAACCGTCGGAGCATCCACAGTGTACCAGCATGCTGCCAGAGTCATAGCTGCACCCAGCACACCCAGCCTGACAGCTGTGATCGCCCAATTTCCGCGTCGCGCGAACGCCCACGCCCACCCTTTGCCCGTTCGCATCCCAAAGCACACGAACCGCATTCTAGCGCCAGGCGGGCTAATGCTCCGGGACTAAGGCTTCTTGGGGTGCGATATGACCGTGCGGACGATCAGAGATGGGATGATCCCAGCTTCTAGCCAACATCAAGGCTCGTCCCTGCGCGCCCGCATCGTCCAACTCAGCACACTCACTCTCTCTTCCCGGAACAACGTTTGAGTCAGAAAACAGTGATCACACTCAAGGGCCGACTCGTGGAAAGTACCATTGCGCCATGCCGCCATCGCCGGATCACCTTCGTATTCATCTTTGCGACTCGTTCCGGAACCTGATGCTAGGGACAGCGTTGGGCATCCACCGTTCGGGATCGCCTCACTACCACTCTCGCTACCAAATAACGATATCGCCGAAAAGAGAGTTTCGCCATTGAGGGACGACCAGCGATTGAGTTTGGCTGGCTTGCGGGAACTAGAATCGCGCATATCGCGCAAGACTGTTTCGTGTTGTCCCATGGTTCACGTCTATCTCGCGTAGAGAACTTTTACCGGCATGATGCTTGTTTGCAACGTGATTGATGATCAGACCGAAGGATTCCCAGGCTCTACCCTTTCATCTTCGTGCCGTGCTTGTGCGGCGTTCATGCGACTGGGATGCACCACGTCACCGCCTTTCTAAGGATCTTATCATGGTCGTTATAGGGACGTGTGGTAGTAGGTCCTTTTCAGGCAGGAACGGCCGGGCCACGTGATTTCGTCGCTGCTGGGAACCTCCTTGCCAACATCAGGCACACAACGTGGATGAGCAACGACCGAGGATTCTGGAAAAGCTGGGGTTGACCTGGTTGCGCGCACGCTCAGGTACAGACGCTGCCCAAGGGGCGCAGATGAATCATGCGGTTGTTCGGGCGACAATGAAGCTGTTGTCTACATGGAGGATGCCTGGTAAGCTTGCAATGGTAATGGTGAGTAGTTCATCGAGACAACACGATCTCCATCGTCGATGTAGGGCTGTCTTCTCCTTTGTCATTTTTCCATCATCATCCTTGCGCGCACGACTCCTTCGCGCCAGCGCCAGCGCACTTGTTGCCTACGCGATGCGACGACCATGCGGTGTGCGAATGTGAGGCTGTCAGCTATCGCCAAATGCGTGCGCTCGCCGAGAAAGAGAAGGAGCGGGTGGCCTTGTGAATCATCGACTAGGTTACTCCAGGTTACAGAAAGTACGCAGCGCAACATGTGGATCGCGAGGAAGTTCCTGCGAAGCTGCCCCGTAAGGGGTATCGCTTGACCTTGCCGAAGTGTTGCGAAGAGTTCTTGCGAAGGAAGTCTATCGGTTCAATATGCCGAAGAGTCGCGAAGAGATTCCCCGAAGCTACTCTGAATGCGTACCGGCTGAAGCCGAAAAGGTACGAAGCTGTTCTGCAAGTGTATCGGTTGACCTTGCCGATGGGGCGCACAGAGTCTCTACGAAGCTGCTCCGCAAGTATACCGGCTGAACTTGCCGACCGAAGAGCCGCAAAGAGCACAGATCTGAGCGCCGTTGAGGTCGAGTGACCTGACTGCGCTGACTTGCAGCCGATCGTCATTACTAATAAGCCGCGAAGAGGCGAATGCGTTGTTGTGAAGCCGAGCGGACTGGAGAAGATCTGAGCACGTCTCGATATGTGTCCTATTTGGCCGTATGTAGAGAACGTACGATCTATTGAGCTGTACACGCAAGCACGGCGCAAGAGACACGTGGTGTTGACGCAAGCTTGACGCGATGGGGCGTTATGCGGTTTGTGTCTGGGGAAAGAGCCGATAGCTTTGAAGCTGTGCTTGGGTCAGGAGTGTCGTGGTGCAGGATTAATGGGGAGGGTGGCTCGCCCCAGTGAACGCTAGGCAAAGAGAGTGATCTCGGTGTCTACTTTCCAGGGACAGTCTTCGGTGATCAGATGAGTTGAGGTCAGTGTGAGGGTAGCGCAGTTCTTCAACTCCTATTCCCGAATGATGCATCAAAACGCTTCGACACAAGTATTCCGATCCACTGAGTATTACGATGATGTTCCTATTCAAAACGGCCTTTCCTCCAACTCACCTCGAAGACAAGTTATCTTTCAGGCGATAAATATGACACATGATGCCTAGCATGCAGTTTTGACTGTTCTAACAACGGATCATCACTTACACTCGAGGTGGCTACACCTCACCTTAGAGTCAACGGAGGCATTACGAAAAATGTCATCAATGTAGAATTGTTATGTTGTAGAGTGTTTACTTATCCAGATTCAACAGTGTGTATGCAGCAGATCGGGACATAATTCTAGGCACTCCTGCTCCTACGCTTCGAGCGACGTGGTACAGCTGTTTGCATCTCATGAAATTACATTCCAATTCCTGTTCGGCGTCATCGCATCGCTTGCGCGCTCTCTCTCTCTCTTCATTTGCTTTCTACTCGAGCTCATACAGATCCTGCGGACTCTCCGATTGATCAACGAGATCGACGCGCAGCACCAGATTTCCATCATCACTACTATCGAGTACATCGTATGGCGCAAACTTCGCCAGGATCATAGCGTCGTCTGGTAGATCAGCGAAGCTAGTCCGATTATTCGGTGGACCGGAGTCGCCATGTATCAGACTCCAGCTGGGCTCTTCTTCGATCTCTCTCGCTAACGCATACTCTTGCGACAGATCGGTCTTTCGCATATCACGCACAACGCGATGTATCTTCTCTTGCTCTATCGTGAAGTCTTCGTCGTCCTCGTCTCCAGAATAGACGAGCTTGCAGGTGTATCGCCCAACATGCTGCAGCTCGATGTTGAATAAGATGAGTAGATGATTGGTGTAGTCGTTCCCAGCCAGTAGTATTGCGCCGCGCCGACAGTTGAGAGGGAATGTGTACGCCTGGTCAGTGGCTATACTTGGTACGTCTAAGGGGTGAGCCTTAGCACTACAGTAGACTGTATTGAACAATCTTAGAGTGTCTTCGCTTATGACTACCTGTAGAGGTCGTCGCTTTTCTACTCTGATGCTTGGCTCTTGACTCATGAAGATGGCTGTGGGTGTGCGCTCCTCGGCTTTCATAGTCATCAAAGGTCCAGTGGAGCGAGCATCACGGGCATAACGGTTTGTTCCTGGTGGCCCAAGGCGTACCACGGGTAGACCAGTCCGTGTATTGTAGGTCCCGCAATGCAAAATAGCTAATCCGTATGGGTCTTCGCCTTGGTGAACAATCGGAAGCTCGATTCTTAAGCCTTTGTTAGTCATCGAATACGGACTCTGGAAATCATCGTCAAGGATAGGGATCAAAGTGCTGGCCCCTCGAAACTTTGACGGATGTGCAGCCAAAGGCCCACAGAGATCATTTCGCGTACGCTCAAAGCCTAACTGCCACGCAAATAGTGTTTGGTCGTCGGACTGCTTCATGATTTCTTCCTGTTGGGGATGAGCGGGAAAGAACGAAGAGCCAGAGGGATGACCATCGTACCTGCAGGCGAAGAAATGCTTTGCTACCCTCTCCATATAGTAGTGGCATGTTGACACCAAAAAGTCCTAGGAGGCAATACGCCAAATCCTCCGTTCTGGTTGTCTCGCGTTCAGAGGCCCAAGACATGCGCTGTGCAACACTGCACTTTGTGACGTCCCCACCGAGTAATATGTACTTTTCAATGCCAGTCCTTTTCACTATCAACTCAAGCAGAGTCCGTTTGTCGCCAATCTTGCTCCAATTGGATGAGCTGTTGGCATAGAAAACCATCTCAGATGGGGCTATTAGCTCCTGTAACGTCCATCCTCGAGTCCACCAGGCACTGTTCATGACATGCGAGATGGGCTCTAGTCGCTGCCAAGCAAGAACATGCCCCGTTTTCCAGCGGCTGTTGAGTCCACTTCCGTTCCCATCCTGGTGCTCGTAGACATCGATGATTCCGGCCCAGGCCCCATCGGCATCTTCTGCTCGGTATGTTGGCCAAGTATGTACGTCGGCCAAGTAGGCGTAGCAAACTATAGATTGTTGATACCAAGTATACATTGAGTTGATGGCCTCGGACAATTCTGCGCTCGACGACTTATCGATACAGCATGTGTCAACCCACACGTACTCTATCATATCTTCCAATGCTTGTTCGCAACATTGCCGTATCTTCTTGAACCCAGACTTCCTTTTTGTGGCGGCCGCCCGGATTTTGAGCTCCTGGTCCTTAGTAGATCGAACCCCTTTTTCTTTGGCAGTCGCCCGATCGCTCATCTCTCGATAGGTGACTTCTTCACCCTCCCATCGGTGCGACAGGATGGCATACGGTGGTATTGAAGAGCCCTCGAATTCGTGGAATGTCATATCAATCGCACGGAGTAGGCGCATGTTGCCGTTAGATCCCGTGCAAAGTCTTTGGCTGATGATGCTGCTGCGTTGTGTGCGAATCCAGTCGTTTGAGCGACCGTGAGTATTGTCAGTGATGCAGAATTTGCCCAAGGGATTCGTAGCGCAACATAGTAAGAGCGGCTGAGAGGTGACGAGGCTAGGCTAACAAGCGTGGGGGCTGAAAGCTGCATGAGCTGTTCCATCATCGCGAGGCGGTTGGCCGTCACGACCTCACACTCACGATAACTTCAGGACGAGTCACATGGACTGGAACAAAGCTAGAGATAATAAAAAGTGACCTCCACTAGAGGTGGGATACTTCATTCGTCATCATAGCGTGTGCATTGTATGGAGGAAGGAGCGTTGCGCTGCGGAGACTCAGCTTGGTGGGATCTCGAGGCTCCATCACTAAGCGGCATCACGCATCAACCTCTTACCGACGCCGCAGAGATACTGCAGACGTCCCGAACAATGCGCATATGTGTGTGCATCGAAAGAAGGATACTTTGCTAGTTTCGGGAATCTCATTCACGCGAAAGCTATACAAAGCTTCGAATATCGGATGATTTGAACAGTCATCTAAAGGAGATCCGGGTTCGTATCTTGATATGGTCTTGCTGCACATACAAGTAGCTAGTCAGCTAAAGGCAATGCATGAATACCTGTCGTAGTATTCCTGAATTGACATCATATAGAAGAGCACCGGAAGTCATGGTCTGCACCCCACAGGTGTATTTCGAAGTCCAGCTAAATCACCCTACACGATCCACATGTGAAGGTGTCAAGCGGCATCAACCCTCGTTTCTCATGAACCAATCTAGAGCTCAAGCACTCCATCCTCTTGCTGGCCCATCCCGAACCAGCTTCCGAGGGTGTTCCAGGCACTCTGCTTCTCTCCAGGCAGCTGAACGCCATCAATCTCCTCTTGAGTAACGCTGTACCATTCATCCTTGGGAATCCATCCAATGTATGCACGGTCTCCGAAGCCTCCAATCCAGTATATCTCCTCGACAACGAGACGCACCCACTTGCTCTCGTGAATGCCACTGCCTGGCAGCCACCATGCAGCATCCGGGTGCTTCTTGACATAGCAAGCCGTCACACCCAGCTTCTTGACAGCATCCATATCGATGTCCTCGAGTCGTCCGACGAGTGAGAAGCGAGGAAGAGATGCGGGACTACGCCACTTGTTGTCCTGGGGGTGCCATCGCATGCTCAGGGTGATATTGGAGCCGGCATCTACGTTCTTGAAGGAGGTCGCGATGGTGATGGCGAGGATGGTCGGGTTGCCTGAGTCAGACTCGCAGTCGCCGAAGTAGTCCATCAAGCCTATGGGCGCGCCGCCGACATCCGAGGGTCGTTGCTCGGTGGTGTGAGAGTCTGGGAAGACGGTAGATAAGGTGCCGATGTTTTCTAGGCGCATGATCCTGCGAGCTTGGACGGCGGACTCGTGGACCGTTGGTATCTTGAAGCCGGATCCATCGCTGGAGGACGGGTTCGCGAAGAAGTGCTGCGGTGATGGGAGGTTGGACGCTGTGGTGACGGAGATAAGGCCTACGAGGGCAGCTTGGAGACGCATCTTGCTACTGCTTGTATCCGAGTGATGCAGATATGTAACAGTGTGTTTCGAGAGCTAGATCGCTACAGTGAAGCGTCAGTGACGGTGGTGGTTGATGGCAAACAGCGACGCGTCCGAGCGAAGCTACGGGACGCATCATGCGACACCCAACCGCGGCGGGGATCTCCGACTAGGGTAAAGGTAAAGTCTATTGCGGAAGGCATGACCGTGTCGGGCACAGAGATGGCTCATCCATAAGCATCTGAACACAGCATGACCGCGCTGCTTGATAGTGGCTTGAGGGTCATTGAGAAAGTCGGCGTGTCTAACTTGTTGTCCGCTGTACTTGTTGATGGGTCGCATTATCTTATCTGATCATCTCTGGTAGATGTGGAGGCGAGATCTCCGTTCCGAACATCTAGACGCAGCAGCCTGATAGATGGTAATTCCTGCATCGGCACAGCTATCTATATGCGCTCTGCCTATTCATTGCTTGTGGGAAGTGTTTATAGTGAATGCATAGTGGCCGTTCTGCTGAGCTCGATGCTCACATTTCGATGCACTAGCGCTGCACGTGATCTCGGCTAATCCGGTGAGCCGCCGTCCACAGCCCTGGAGTCATTTTGACCCTCTCGTCGCCGCCCAGTCATCGAACACCCAACGACCGCAACCTGTACGTATTCCGCCCGCTCCTACGACTGCACCTGCATCAAACGCGAAGCCTTGCGAAACCAAGACTTTCAACTCGCACCCAACACCCGAAACCCCAGAGGTACACCGCTAATCGGACTTTGCCACCACACAGACAACTTCGAACGACTCATCACACCCATCAACAACCGCCAATATGGGAAAGGTTCACGGATCCCTCGCTCGTGCCGGAAAGGTCAAGTCTCAAAGTAAGTCTTGGCTCATGTGGAACGATTGCGAATGTCTGCTAACAATGCATAGCCCCCAAGGTAAGCTTCACCCATCGATACACCCACGCCTCCAGCCGATAGCGACACGTCGAATCACGACCACGATCACGCGACGCCTGAGGAGAAGGACGGATTGATTATGGATGCTATGTGGATGTGGACAGCCGGCTGACACGCTACACAGGTTGAGCCCCAGGAGAAGAAGAAGACCCCCAAGGGCCGCGCCAAGAAGAGGCTCACATACACCCGCCGTTTCGTGAACGTCACCATGACCGGTGGCAAGCGCAAGGTCAGTAGACATCGCGCATTTGTATGATGGGCAAGTACTGACACGTCCCAGATGAACCCTAACCCAACCTCATAAGCCAAACACTAGAGGAAGGGCGAACGAAACGAGCACTATGAGCTAGAGAATACGGTCATGAATTCGGTTTCTTCAGGATGGCTATGACTCTGGATCAGAGGGAAGTGGGAATCACGGACGTCGCCACGGCACGTTCCTCAGTAGCAGCATGATCCCACACTTTGGGATGATGGGGGCATATTCATGGCGTACATGTACATTCTGCTTTTTGCACAGCTGCATCACGAATTCTAGCTGCTTGTGTTCCCAACTCTGGTCTTCTTGGATTGTGTGCCGTGTGTTGTTTCTTGTCGCGTTGGCTGACCCTCTATGCTTCACTCGACCCGATGCTGTGTCCATCCATTCAATCGCGTTTCAATCCCCACCGTGATTATATTATTTCGCGTCTTCGAATTCGCACCATCATAGCATCTTGGTCGCATTCAAAAGCGGACAAGCCCGTCCAGCTTGTAAGAAATCCGTCATCAACAGCGACGCACCCTCGGTAGGCTTGCCTTCCTCCAGATCTATAAGCTAAGAGCTTTCTAAGCTCTGCATTATCTGTCTTTAGTCCAATCCTCGAGTGCTGCATCGTAGATCTCTCAAGATCATACTGCGGTGGGAACGGCAGGTCCAAGCGGCGATCTACGTCACACCCGAACCTCACTCCACTTGAGCTGTCAGAGCACCAACACCTCCATTTGCAGAGCATCAACAGTACAACACCAACAACAACAGCAAACATGTTCAAGCGATTCTTCGGAGAGGTAAGCCATTCTAGAATTGGCTCTCAGCATCACCTGCTAATACCATCCAGCACGGCGCAAAGAACGTCGTGACACTCTTCCACGCGCCTTCGAACCAAGCTTCCACTCGCGTCCTCACCCTCCTCAAACAAGCCAACGCACAATCCGTTGCGCATGCGACTGAAGACCAAGCCAGCTCCCACAAAGCTCAGGACAAGGCCGAGCGCACAGAGTTCGAGCTTGATGTCACAGAAGCCCCACCCACAACCGACCAGCTCAAGAACATACTGGACTACTTGGGCGGATCGGGCGCGGCAGGCAAGGTTATCAGCGGAGCGGAAAACGAGACTGATGCCATGAGGAGGTTGAAGGCGGACGGAGGCGCGTTCCAGAGACCGCTTGTCGTGGACTGGAATCAGGGAAAAGCTGGTATGTCCGCAAAGGAGAAGAGAGGCTACTCGTGCTAACCCTGACAGTCGCTGGAGAGAATGAGAGCGAGATCATGAAGCTGATACGGTCGGTACCGAAGGAGACGGAGAAGGTGTAGAGCGTGGAGAGATGCGATCTGTACTATACCCACTCCACTCAGCCTGTGATTCCGGATACTACATACGGGAAAGTACTATTGACTTTCGAAATTGCCTCTGGACGCGGTATGTCTCAAGGCTTCACCGCTCAGTAGCTCAGGAAGAGACGTTTTGCTAGGCGGCCGGTAGCTGCGTCCCGAGGTCGCTGGTAAGACACTGATGCAAACACATGCATATGCAAAAGAAATTCCCAAGAAAAGCTTCTTCCAACATTCCCTAAGGTGTAAGTGTTGTACTTTCTTACTGCTCGTCGCGTCCTTGTGCTTCACCATGTCGAAATCCTCTGTGACCATGTCTTTCTGTCTCTGTTCTTTTCCAGTCACTCAGCATCTTTACAAGTCACGCCAAAGCTATGCAGTTGGGCCAATAGCATGAGCGGAAGAGCGGCGCGCGGAGATTTCGAGCGTTGGTCACTCACGCTCACCTCCTCTTTCTGGCGGCGCCAAGACCTGTTGCTCCTTCCACCTCAAGCGGCGACGAACTCTTGTTTATCGTGCACCCTCGCGCTTGCCACAAATCTCTCAAGTATTCTCAACCTCGCGTTCTCCATCGCAGTTGCTAGTTTCCAACGGCATTCGGCGCCACTCAAGACCTTCCCCTGCTGCAAACACCACCTCCAGTTGTCCCACGCCTACTCACTCGCACCTCCCTTATCGAGCCAGTAGTGAGTTCAGCTATGTCGGATACTGCCCAACCGCCGGGAACTCCGCCCGCTGCAGACACGCAAACCGCAACAACTGCAGACGAGCAGCCTGCGTCCCTCACCGATATGGACAACACTGTTGTCGACCCAGTCAACCATGCAACTAGAGACTCCAAGTTCAGTCCGGGAGCCAGCCAGGCGTTCTTTTCTACCGAACTTGGTACCCGCGCTCCCCGTTCACTAGGTCCAATTCGTGCGCCCGTCATCGCACGTAGCGTCCAAGGTCCTGCCGCTGTGGTGCAAGCAGCGACCCATTGGCAGGTAAAGTACAAGAATCAGTGAGTAACCGTTCGTGTTCCACTCGAAGCCCACGCTGACTCAAATAGGTGTCTCTGCATCCTACCCTCACAGGGGTGGACCGTGGAAGACCTATGGGATGCCGAAGATGTCCACATCGAGGGCAGGAAATTCTGCGAAGAGATGTTGACCTTCATCTCCCGAAACACATACTACGCGGCGGACCGATTCGCTAAGGATTGGGCGCTCGCGCATCCGGATCGAGTCGACTTTATCGGGCTTCAGATGGGCAACGTCTACGACATCAACGATCCGCTTGCCATCGTCGACCAGATCTTCGTGTTCGGCGAGCCTCTCGGGTTCCCTCGTGTGTTCCTCTGGCACGTCGCTCATATTTTGATTACTACATGGATCGAGATGAACAAGGCGACTAACGAGACACTGCGCGAGAGCCTGACGCCACAAGCACGCACTTGGGGTCAACAGTCCACCAATGAAGCAACCCAGCCTTCGTCCACCCTTGTCGAGATGTCTACAGACAAGAAAGGCAGTAAGAACAACCGCAAGATCACACGTTCTCGACCCAGCAAACTGACCACACCGGCAGAGCCTTCGTCCGCCGTCGATAAGCCAGACCATGTCGCGAATGAGTCTTCCGGAGTACCAGATCAGCCCAACATGCGCTATGCTCCTCCACGCATCCCGTCGCAGGGTCTTGTTCAGCGTGGGGGCCATTCTGCTCCATTGAGGAGCGGCGATATGGGTGTTCCGGCGGGGCCCTCGAGACCGTCGCCCAACATGCATGCGCTATCCTTGAACATTCCAAAATCCAATCGTAACATGAACTCCGGGTCCTACGTTCAGCAACACGGCTGGGTCGAGAACAACAACCGCACTGCATATGGTCCATACCCACGACAGCCTTCTGGCGCTATGCCTGCCATGCAGTCGCCTCACTTCCTACCCCCGCAAATGGCACCGGGCCAACATATCGCTCAGCCAATGATGTCGGGTGTAGTTCCGTATGTTCAGGTGGTCCATCACGGCTTTGCTCTCCAACACCCCGACCCTGGCCTGATGTCTCGAGCACAACTCAACTACCAGCAGAACATGATGCAAGCTCAGCCAATAAACCCTATATTCACGCAGCAGCCACACAGCCAGCACGTCTCGATGGGCGACATGACTAACAACATGATGCTTCAACACCAGGATCCTCGTGCGCCGGTGCCCCGTCGTTCCAATCCACCGCGCAACCCCCAAGAGCTCTACGATCCCTACGGTGGCAACAACCCTAAGTTCAACGGTGCCCCGGGTCATAACAACATAGGCCGGAAGGGTGGCAACAGCGGCTTCGCCGCTCAGTATGGTCGTGGCCGCAAAGTATCCAACCCAGGCGGGCGGGAGTCCTATAACAGGTCCAACGCTGAGTACAACGGCAACGTTCCATCCAGCGGACCTCGATATGCCGACTACACCAATCGACGTCGCCCATCGGAAGACGACCCGGCTATCACTGGCGATTCCGTTTCTGGTTGCGGTCATACATGGATTGGACCCAAGAACCAGACCGTCACCGAGCTTTGGATCGGAGATTTGTTACCCGAAACCGGCGAGTCTGAAATTGCACAGATGTTCAAGCAGACGATCGGCATTAGCCCTATAGCGGTCTCCTTGAGGGGCAACAAGATCGGCGCAAGTTCTATTCATGCCTTTGCTACGTAAGTCAACTCGCTGTTGTCTCTGTGGATCCGCTGACACATCTAGATTCGTATCAACTGCAGACGCCAGCGTAGCCCTGAGCATTAATAAGTTTAATCCTCACGTACGTGGAGTCCGCCCTGTTGTGACGGTACCAAGGCGTTTCTACCAGAGGGACATACCATCGAGTTCAAGCTATTTTGATCAGTCACATACTGGGCGTGATGCCTCACGCATGTCGATTCAGAAAGACGACAAGCCTGTCACTGATCTAGAGTCAAATGCACCTACAGAGAGCGCCAAGGCATCGTACTCTCCCCAGGATGCTAGAAGCGGCCTGTTGAAGAAGCCATCCCCGCAGTCGGACATTCCTAGCTATCCAGAGACAGGAGACGTCAAGCTCGAGATGCCCAAACATCAGCAGAAGTCTCCTACAAAGAAGAACAAGGGCAAAGGTAGGCGCGAATCAACAGTCAAGAACACCGATGCAGCCGATGAGAAGACGAAAGCTGCTGGGAAGCTGAACTCTGATGGCCCAGCTGTCACGAAAGAGGAAGAGGCCGGCACAGAGTCTACCAAAACCATCACTGAACCTACGAAGCCAGCGACTGTCGATGGGCCTACTTCTTCGGCTGAAGAACATAAATCCTCTCCCTCCGAATCTACACCAGCGCTAGACCAGCCGGAAAATGTAGCCGACGCCTCTACCGTACTGCCACCCAAGGATTCGGAGACGCTAGAGGCAGGACAAGACGCCAAGACAACACAGAAAGGGCGTGACACTGACGTCCCTCTCAACTTCGCAGGCGCCCTTGCTAAGAATCTAGAGACTAGATCTGACGCTACTTCCATCGCTAAGGATAGTGAGAACACAGGTGGTGGGCCTTCGAGTACAGCTCCGATAGAATCGCCTGCGCATTTAGCAGACAACGATGTCTCGGACGATGAGGCCAAGAACGACACTAGCTTCCATTCTGCGCCAGAAATCCAGCCTGAGTCTGTGCAAGCGCAGCCGCAACCAGAGTTCCAGGACAAGGCGATGACTACGAACCATGGTACTGCGACCCCAGCCCAATTCTCATATAAAACGTCTGACAGTACATAGAAACCACAAAGTCGCCGTCTATACCTACCGAGACCAGCCTGAATAAACTCCCAACACTGATCACTCCACGCAATACTACTCAGTCTGAACCACCTGGAGCTGCGCCGCCAAAAGAAGATACCGCGCGTCAGCTTCCAGCGTCGGAGAGTACACAAGACCCTACAACAACCGCTACTGCTCAAGGAAACGAAGAAATTTCAACAGCTGCAGAGACCTCATCCGTCACTGCAACCAAGAAAGCTGGTACTCAGCAGATGCAGTCGCTCCACCCGTTCGCGAAGAGCAACAAGTCTCAGGCCAAACGAGAAAAGGAGGCTAGAAAGAAGCAGCAGAGGGTGAGTCTTGCATGTACGAAAGAACATGAAACATATGCTGACTTTGGCTTTTCACCTCTACAGAAAGAAGACGCTGATCGGGTCGCTAAGGCGAAAGCTGATAAGGCCATATCCTCGCAAAAGCCCAACGATGGTCCCTCCGCTCAGCGTGAGACTGGGTCTCTAGGAGACTCTGTGAACTCACCTGGAGCTACAGATACAGTTGCTCAGCCAGAAGCGGCCAACTCAAAGACTGGCGGTGATAGCACCACAGGAAACAAGAAGTCCAAAGGCAAGGCAAAGATGCAGCCAGCTGGTACCAGCTCTGCCGATGGCGAAGACAAGGCTGTTGCCGAATCGGAGAATGGTAAACTCAATGGTAATATCAACGATTCCAAGGATGTCTCTTCAGTAACTCACCAGGCGGAAAAGATGGAGGCCTACCTCACCGCGCCAGCCAACCAGGGATCTTCGGGAGACTCTGGGGTAACCCCAGCTGCTGAACCGACCCCATCAACTCCACCATCTGTCCCTTCAATTACCCCAAAAACACAAGGCTCCTCCCAGAAGATGCCTGCCCAGGAAGTAAATGATCCCCATAACCTCACTTCCAATCAACAAACTCACGTTCCAGGTCACTCTCGCCGCTCTTCCGCTTCCACGCTAGTCGGAGAAGAGCGAGTGTTACCGTCTGCTTTTACCCCTCCTGCCCCTACCCACCCGGACTCCTCGCGAACCGTCTCTCCTGATGAAGCACCCCAGCTCGACGCCACCCCGACTGTAGCACCCAAGAAGAAAAAGAAGAAACCAAAAAAGAAGAAGACCGCACCCGTCCTCCCTTCAGTTGACCCCGACCCCCCCAGGGACGGGGACTATCATAACTATAATCCTTTTTCGTCCCAAATGAGCCACATAGATGCTATTCGTCGGGCTAACAAGTACGATACCACCTCTTACTATGCGGTTACAAACGCGCGAATGGAGAGGGATGCTGAAGAGAGCAGAAGGGCTGCTCGAGCCCTTGCGGATCTGAATGAAGATGCTAGCTGAGGAACGAAAAGACGCTGGTCTGTCGTCCAAAACGTGTACGTTCCACTCAACCTTCAAGCGCGATGTAGCTAATTGTGTTCACAGCTTGAAATGACCGCTCAGGTCGAGGCTTGATGGGTAGATGTGCCTGACGATGGACTTAAGAGGCTGGAGCTTGGGAGAGGGATGATGATGGCTTTGAATTCTTGTTCTTGTTATTCGCTCATGGTGTATAGTTGATGAGGCTGATAGCCACGTCCCATACTGCGAAGGCTGCTATGGTTTGCCTATCACCTACTGGAGACGGAATGAGAACATATAAACTTCTACTTGTCTGCATGATTTCGCGTGATTTCTGCTTTGACTTGTTGCGCACCCCTTATTTATGGGGAAACATTCAACATTCCAGAGCCAACGTTGACGTTAGCTACCTACTTCGCATCTTTCGATGTTAACGTAGGCTGCAGACGTGTTCAAATTGTTCCTTGTTTGAAGTGCTCGCATGGTGTTTAGTTGATCAATCTGCGCATACCTGGGAAGCGTAACTGTTTCAGTGTAATTTTTATTATACTCAAGTAATCCGAGAAATGCCAGTGTACGCCGTTCTCATGCCGCTAAATCCAAGACGTTACTAAACTACCATGTCATACCCGTCGTTCTCTCCCTCCTCACCATGGAACCCGGCGTCACCATATCCATAGACATCATGAAGCGCAGCCTGGAAATCTTCTATCCCTCCTTCTAGTCTTCCTCGTTCTTCCTCTACACCCCCGATATCGAAAAGCACCTCTCTGCGCGCATGACCCTGACCAAACCATATAGACCCAGCGCTATCACTCCAGTTTGTCTTCAAGCTGTCTTCCAGGCCGCGGCGACAGAAGGCTAGGAGGTCTGCGTGCTGTTTTTCCGGAGGCGGCGCGTGTGCATCACCGGCGTAAGAGGGGATGGCATCTGGTGTTGCGCCGCGGAGAAGTTCGGTGATGAAGATGCTGAGCTCGTCGATGTAGGTGATGAGTGGCGGTGGATTGAGATGCGCAGAGGGCATGGTTCGGCTGCATATGTACTCCAGTGGAGAGAGGATTGACCTGAGAGCTTGCAGCATGTGCGTGAGCGCGGCGAGGACGTAAGGTAGCTGAAGCAGATGACGGTTGTCTTTCAGTTGTTCTGTACCCCGGATGAAGGCGTGTGAAATCGATACGATGCAGCCGACGGTTGAAGCGAGACTTTCCGGCTGAGTGATACGCAGGTCAAAGATCATCGTGTCTAGGATCGCGGGGAGTGCTTGCAGTATGGGCCTAGCGATGGCGAAAGCTGTGCTTGATGAGAAAGCTTCTTCCAAGTATGCGGGAAGAATGCCTTGTAGCAATACCGATCGTAGTGCGACCCTATCGCCAGTTGGCGCCTCATCGGTGCAAAGCGCAGTCTTGAGCTGGTTGACCAGATAAGCCTGTTGATTGTCGGCAGCGGCTTGTTGTGCGACGGTCTGGATGAAGAAAGACAGCTGTTTCGCAGTCCCTGCATCTGACAACTTCGGGGCGTATCCACAGAGGCGTGCGACCACGTATGTGGGATCACCGGCTGGTAGTGGGAAGGCGACCGAGTCTGTGAAGAAAGGCAGGACAGGGCAGATGTCGTTCGTGTATTGCTTCAGGAACTGTACGATCTTTTGCACGAATTCGACGTATGCGCCGGTCACCGTTGTGCCTTGGCGGAGCTGCTGGTAGTTGTACTTCATAGATGTCATGAAGTCCTTCAGCATTGATGCGTACAGCCGTTTCATTTCGCCGAGACGTGATGGTTCGGCTCGGGTGATGGCGTGGATGTCGTCGCGCATGTTGGAGAGAATGCTGGAGATGAGAGCAAGGCGTCGCGTGCGCAGAGTGTCGGCAGTGATGTCCCATTTTCCAGTCTCTAGATCGCGGAAGAAAGGTAGGTTCTGCATGAGCGGGTGGTGCTCGTCCGTTTGCGCGATGGCGTGCAGCAGTCTGTGCTGGAACCTCAGCATCGACTCTCGCTCGACCAAGCTTACCATTAGAGCCTGGAAAAATTCATGTCGATGCTCTTCGTACGCGGCTGAGTTACAGTCAACGAGAGCAGCCATGAAGTATGGACCGAATTTGCGCGTCTGTTCGGTCTGGCGTAACTGCTTCCACGATACCTGGCTAAACGAATCGAGATAGTACGACCATGATCTTTCACCCGATAGGACCTGTCCTTCTGCAATTCGAACCCATGTATCGATGCAATCCATGAGCAGGTTATCATCTGGCGAGTTTTCCGCGCCAAATGCGTTCGACAGTAAGTGCCAAAGTGGAGTCTGGATGAAATCCAATCCCGATTGTTGAACGGTCTTTGCGGGGACATCGACATCCATATCTTCCAGATCATCCATATCAGGAAAGTCACCGTAGTCCTGGCTTTCCTCGCTTGTCTGTTGACTTACGTCTTTCTTCATGTTGGCTTTCTGAATCTTCGCATAATCCTGAAGGACCTTCATGACGTCGCGAATAACGTTGACGAGTCGATGATCTTCCAGATGAGGGAGCTCCAAAAGATGCATGACGTCGGAGTCCACCAAAAATTCCCTTAGGGATGATTGATCTTTTGCATGTTGAATGGCCCTGCTCATCCCTGCAATGCAGTCTCTTAGCGTCGCAATGACCTGACCCTGGTTCTTTTCCATCGTTTGACGAACCATGACGGCAGAGACATCAGTAGTGCCGTCCAGAACACCAGACTTGAGATAGTCGTCAGCTTCGGTCTTTGCCAACTTGTACTGAATGAGCGTTTGGTGCATGATGTCTTTGTGCCAGGATGCAAATGGCCGTGCAGAGGTATATGGCTCTTCGGTTGATAGCTGATACGTAGCAAGGTTGGCCCAGGCTCGAACACTGACTCTACATGCTTCGCGGTGAGAGCTCTCGTGATTGACTAGGTCACGAATGTGATCAAGCTTTGGCCGACAAGCGGGTGGCGCAGCCCAGTATAGCGTTGAGAGTAGGTCATGGTGATTGCGTAGCGCTGCGAGATTTTCTTCGTCCAGGGGCTGGTCCTTGGGGTAAGCACGCCCATGATTAGGTAGAGAGCGGAAGACAAAGCTACGAATCTTCTTCTCGGGATAGGCAGTACTCATACCCTGAAGACCTAGAGCGAGACACTTCAGTGCGATGTGAAAGGAGTTCTCATTCGGCTCGACGTTGAGTGATGGAGCAGTGGCAAGGTCGTTGAGAAAGGGTACCGACCCAGCGCCTACTTCACGTCGTAGGCTTTTGAGTCCATTCTTGCCAAAGAAATCCAAGACAGCGTTGAGCATCAACTCCGGACGTCTCCAATGCCAATGAGCAATCAACCGGTGGCATCTTGCAAGATTGGCGCGGACGTATCCATTCAGCGACGTGCTGTGCTTCCTGTACGTACTCGGGTATAACTCGAATAATCTGCGTAAGAGATCTCGAATGCAAGCCCAGTTGTCGCTTTGGAAAGTCTCCCTCCGACTTCTAAGCGGTATGCCGGACGAATCGATCTCGTTGTAGGGAAGGAAGGTGAACATCGTGGCCCAGGTAGCCTCGAAGGCAGGTAAAGTAGTAGCGCTGCCCAGCTTGGAACTAAGCTCTTGACTGACCAGATCCCAGAAACCCCATGCTGGTATGTCCATCTCCTCCAAAACATGCATGCATATGACCGTGCTCTCAACAATCACGTCGGTATCTTGTATACCCTTCTCGCGTACGGAGTGTCGCTGGTTTTGTTCGAGAAAACTACCAAGACTGGGAATGCCGTGTCGCATCAAGTGAGCGACGATAGTCTTGGACAAGCTTTTGGCAAGACCGATAACACCGACTTGGTTTCCTGGAGCAATGGTAGGATGTTGAGCGATGTGGTGGATTTGAAGGCCAATGACAAGAAGGTATGCCATAGCACGGACCACACCATGAGTATGACTAGGATCTTGGCCGTTCAGGGTACCTTGAGCAACCAACAAGCTGTCGAAGATTGTTTGGCATAGCCGCAACAACTTGGCCACACAGTCATCTCGATCGATGGGATCCAAAAAGCTGAGATGGTGGGTAATATAGCTGATAAGTGATCGTGCCAATCGAGCTGAGTTCAGCGGACTTTCGTGGACTGATGATGACGTATCAGGGTCGGGTCCATGGACTTCAACAGGTTCTGATACCGCTTTCACAAGCTCTTGTAGCCTAGAAAATGTTTCATCATTCCATGGGCCACATCTGACTGACAGAGCGCCATGGCTGATGGTGCAATGGCCGGCCAATTCATCGAGGTCACGGCTACCGGGCTTGCTGACAAGTAGAGCTTGGCGAAACTCGTCAGCCCCGATGAACGTGGAAGAATGGAAGTACGTGTCGGTGGCTAGAGAGTATACATCGAACGTGATCGGGTAACGGGTGCCATAAGGACCCAACCCGTGGAGTACGGGCAAGCCGTCTTCCGTGTCGACCTCTTGTGGTTGAGGAGCGTCGGTGTTCTTGAGGATCTCGTCAACTGCTGGCTCGCTTGGCTGGCGGTATTCTCGCGCATCGACATCAATTCGTTGCGCTTGTACCTTTCGCTTCAAGCGTCTGCGAACCGGAGGTTGTTGTTTGCTTGGACCTTCAGTTTGGCCTTCTCCGACGTCTCTCGCGGAGGGAAGGGGCGGCAGTTCGGTATTGTCATCTGCGAGATACCTCGCCAGCTGTGGGTTTACGAAAGGCTGTTCGCTAGGCAGCTGAAGACCAAACTGCTGATCGACACGCAAGAGGCCCTTCTCGAATGCGATTTTCCTGTGGCCACGGCCAAAGTCGTTCTCATCGCCTTCAAGTTGCGCGGTTCTGAACGGAAGAGGCACCTGACGCCCAGCTCGTCCTGGATCCTTGCTTGATTGGACATGTTTCTTTCCTCGTTGCGTAGATTTCCTGACCTGGGTCGTAGAGCGCTGGAAGATATGGAGGCCTGCGGGGATGCTTTTACGTGGGCGTGTACGGGACACGTCCGTCCCGGCTTCAGATTGTACCTCAGTG